GAGGGATCACTGAGAGGCTGGTCGGCGGGGGCAGGTGCGAGAACAGGAAACAGCTTTGGAGAAGGCAAGGCGGCAGATACAAACGTCCCCTCCACCACAGCGCCTTCGACTGGGGCCTCGCAGGGAATCCAAGCCAATCCTCTCATTTCCTCGGCAAGGGGAAGGCCAAAGGGCTATCGAGTGACCCACAATGGCAGTCGAGCTGTGACCAGGCACTTCTAAGCTCTGCTATCCCCGTCTGCAGAGGGGAAAGAAGGGAACGCCATCTCTCCGACCGAGCTTCTCGTTTGGAAACTGTGTGCGCGGCGACCAGCAGCAGCGGCAACCTCGGCTGGGAGAGGTTGCTGGGGGAGAGGAGAGGGGGACAGGAGCGGAGAGAGGCTACCAGAAGGCGGGCAGAGTGGCCGCCACAGGGAAAAGATGCTGTGCCCGCGCGCCCGCCCGCTCACACCCCCCGGGCCGCACGCCGGCACTCACGCTGAGGGGATGGGGCGAGCTGCCGGCGAGCGGAGACGAGGGATCAGGCCGCCACTGTCGCCGCCGAGCCTGGCCCTACGACCTCCTCCTCCTCCTCCACTTTCGTTTCCTCGCAGGGCCGGCTAGCGGCGCGGTCGCGCTCTGATCCCGCCCTGCGGGCGGCGCCGCTTGATTACGTCACGAGCCCGCCAGCCCCGCCCCCGCAAGGTTCAGGCTTGGCCCCTGGGAACTGCCCAGGTCGCATAGCGCTCAGGACCCGGGGCGCCTGCGCAGAACGGCGACCTCGAAAGAACGGGGGTAGGGTGGGAGTAGCCATTAAGAAAGTAACCCGTGTCTACTCCTTCTCAAAGGAAGAGAAATCAATACTTCATCTCAGTTTTTTCATCCTGTTATGGAGTACCTGAAGAGGGAAAAACTCCCAAGATGTCTTAATAAATCATGTGGAGTCTTTATTATTTATTACCACCAGCTGGGCTGTCTCAGGCAGAGTAGCGGGAAGCACCCTCGGACCTCCAGTTTGTTCGACATTTTAGAGACAAGGACTGCAACTGTGATGTATACAGCAAGGCAGCTCCAGACATGTAAGCGTTGCCTTTTTTTTTTTTTTTTTTAGAAGCAGCGAGATAGCAATTAAATGGTCAGGCAGTTAACCTTTAGGTCAGAATCACAATCACATGGTATAGGAACCATGTGATCCAAAGACCAGTTTTTGCCCAAGATAGTTTTAGCAATGGAAGTATTCTTAGGAGCTGGGTGGTGGTGGTGGCGGGTGCACGCCTTTAATGCCAGCACTCAGAAAGCAGGGACAGGCAGATCTCTGTTAGTTCGAGGCCAGCATGGTCTACACAGCTAGTTCCAGGACAGCCAGGGCTATACTGTGAGACCCTGTTTTGGAACTACCCCCCCCCCCCCAAAAAAAAGAAAAATTCCTAGGAAGGGTTTCAGAGCATGGTATAACTGTAGTTTGGTAGCTTACTAGAGTTTTATCATCATTATATAGATTTAAGAATACAGTCAGAGACACAAGCAAGCTGGCCAAGGTCAAAGGCCTGTTCCCGTTCCATAGGACACATTTAACAAAGACAGTGGACTAGGCATAGCTCAGTATTAAGACCGTTTGCCCTGTACACACCAGGTCCTAGGTTTGATTCCCAATGCCTCAGAGAAAAAGAAGTAATGTCATCTATGGCATTTGACCATATGGACTGAGATAGGCTGTCATCTAAAAGCCCTCTTCCCATTTTCAGACTAGTATAACTTTGTTGGACTTCTTCAGCTGTGCCTGTCTCTTAAACCCGGAGAATCCAAATGTCAGCGTATGTCCTCCCATAACGCTGCTCTTTAAAAAGGGATTTCACTTTTATTTTATGTGTATGCGTGTCCTGCATGCACGTATGTATGTGTGCCACATGCAAATAGTACCATGTAAGCCACAAGACAGCATCGGATCCCCTGGAACTGGAATTACAGATAGTTGTGGGTGCTATACTGAACCCAGGTCTGGAAGAGCGGTAAGTGCTCTTAACTCCGGAACCATCTCTCCAGCCTCTTTCCCAGGTGACCGGCAGTATATGATTTACTCTGTTTATTCGTCCAGAGATCTGATGAGTTTACCTTTCTTCATTTCCCTGAAGACGACAATACACTTGAGACTTGAGTTCTTGTTCACCTTCTACTTGTCTGGTAAACATCCCCTGTCTCTATCACGTGTCTCCCTCTCCCCCTCTCCCTCCCTCTCTTACCTCTCTAAGGCTTTTGCAGTAATCTCCAAATTATGATGCCTGTCTCCTAGTGCCTCTGGTTGAAACTGAAGTGTTGTGGGTTTTTTATTGTTGTTTTGTTTGTATCATCAAGTGTGGTCCTATGGCAACCCATCAGTGATTCGAACCTGCCAGTGACTTCTCGCTGCTCTTAGGATGACACCAGTGTCCTCTGGGTGGCCTCGAAGACCTCCAGCCTTGTCCTACTATTCCCTCACTTCTCACCCTCCTTGTCCCGCCTTTCTCAAATACAGTGTCCTTAAGGGGTCCTCTCCCTGCTGGACCATCCTTCCCCTCTAAGATGCTGATGTTCATTTACCCCTCAGGTTTGAGGGCAGTGGTGATTGTAAAATATACATTTTACACAAGTAAAAATAGCTTAGCCAGGATCCCCGCAATACCCAAAGCTACCCTAGACAACCAGAACCCAGTGGCATCACTCACTTAAGATAACCAGACAGTCCTAGAACCCCATGACACCCACTGGACGATATGCAAGCAGAGACTAAGAGCAATGCTCTGCTCGGAACATCTGGAGAGACAATATCATGATCTCCCCTGTGGCTGAAGAGTCTTCCCCAGGATCCTGACCCTTGAATCAGAGACTTCGGTTAGAGACTGGACCTGACCCTCAGCTAGGATATGTTCCACATGTGAACAGCCTTGGGGAGATAAGCTTGGGACCATACTTAGGAATTGAGAGTGTGAACCTGTGCGATGGCCCTCAGCATAGTAAAATAGAACTCTTGTTATACTATGTGTATTTGTCATGCGTCCACATTCTTGCTTGAAACACTAGGTTTAGCACTTTCCTCTCTGGAAACCTTTCCGGAGTTCACAAGAGTATTTACCATCGTCCCCATTTAGGAAAACTAGCTAGCAGGCATTGCATCCCGCCCCCCACCACCACACCCATCTAAAAAGATCTCAGGTTACGAGGCTTGGTGGCAAGACCATTAGACTCTGAGCCATCTCACTGACCCGTAAAGAATCATAAAATATAGAAAGTCACTGTCAGTGGAGAGACAGAGATGCAAAAAAATAAGTGGCTGAGAAATTGATCAATGGAAAAACACAGTAGAACTGCTGGGTATGGCAGCGGCGTATCTCTGAGTTCGAGTCCAGCCTGCTCTACACAGTTGAATTCCAGGCCAACCAGAGACACCCTGTCTCAAAAACCAAGTAAAAGAGGAAGAAAAGGAGGAAGGAAGGAAGGAAGGAAGAGAGAATGGGAGAGGAAGCAGGGGTGGGGATGGGGGATAGACAATATTAAAGACTATTTCACAAGATGGACTCAGTAGTGTAAGAAAGACAATTAGGAGGGCTGGAAAGATGGCTCAATGGTTAAGAGCACTGACTGCTCTTTCAGAAGTCCTGAGTTCAACTCCCTGAAACCACACGGTAGCTCACAACCATCTGTAATGGGATCCGATGACTTCATCTGGTGTGTCTGAAGACAGCTACAGTGTACTCACATATATAAAATAAATAATAAATTAAAACAAATAAATAAAATAAAAGAAGAGAGACAATAGAAGAGTCACAAAACTTGAAGACTCCAGAAGAGTAATGTTACCTGTGAGGAATTAAATTTAACAAAGTTTGGGGGATAAAAGTCTCTAGCCAGGAGGTGGTGGCTTACACCTCTAATCCCAGCACTCGGGAGGCAGGCAGGTCTCTCAAGGCCAGCCAGGGCTACACAGAAAACCCCTGTCTCAAAAAACCATGAGACAGAGAGACAGAAAGACAGACAGACAGACAGACACACACACACAGAGACAAACACACACACACACACACACACACAAGGGGTGGGGGGAGGAGGGAGGGGAAGTGGTTCTACAGTGAGACAGCGTTCCAGGCTGAAGATGGTTCTGGAAGCCTCCACCAACAGCAGGAGAGCTGTATTAGCCACCTGAAAGTCAAGAACTGGTACACTAGATTAATCATTTGTCCTGTATCCCAGCTTGCTTTACACAGGCTTGTTGTGAAGCCTCCAGGCTGTGATTGGCTGAGGATTCAGTTGCTTCTAATTGGCTGAGATTCAGTTTCTTGGTTACATTGGCAGTTTCGTTACATTTCTTTACACATCAAGATAGGTTACAATGTAATATGCATGGAGCAGACCTAGATTAAATACGATGACCCAAATACAAAGTCAAATTGAGGGTCAATTTGACTACACTTAACCGTATCCAAGTTCAATAAAGAAACATGGCAGGGGGAGGGCGAGAGTAGGAGTAGGCTAGAGCCTCAGAAAACAAAACCAAAGATTTAACGTTTGGCACCAGGTTCACAAAAGAAAAAGAGAAAAAAACATTTGATGCAGAAAATTTTTTTTTAACTCAGGGTCTTGTAGCCTTGGGTTGTGGCAAGTCTAAGGCAGCACTGTGCTACATATTAATATATTGAGTTCTGGGCCAGCCTGGGCTAGAGAATGAAAATCTGTGTAAAGAGTGGCACACACCCTTAATCCCAGCACTCAGGAGGCAGAGGCAGAAGACTCTGTGAATTCAAGGCCAGCCTGGTCAACATCTTGAGTTCAAAGCCAGCCAGAGTTACTTTGTGAGACTCTGTCTCTAATAATAATAATTATATATTTTATTATATTATCTAATAATGTTATTACATTGTTTATTATATTTATCATAATTGTTATGTTATTTAATAATTATTTAATAATCACTTGAAACCATAAATATCCCAACTTAGGTAAACACACTGTTGATCATTTTTCATACTTTCAAGTTCTTAAATATATACATAATAGCTGAAAGCAAATATAACATTGTCTGGTGGGGTTTTCGATGTATGTAGACGTAATAATTCTCAGATTCTAACAGAGGAAGGAAAAGGAACTGAGGTAAGCTCTCTCTATTCCACTGCAAGAGGGAAGATATTGATTTTTAAATTCAATGTAAAAGTATCTATATGACAATCCCCCCAATCTTTTTTTAATGATTTATTTATTTATTTTATGTATATGAGTACACCATTGCTCTCGGACATACCAGAAGAGGGCATCGGATCCCATTACAGATGGTTATGAGGCCCCATGTGGTTGCTGGGAATTGAACTCAGGACCTCTGGAAGAGTAGTCGGTGCTCTTAACCGTTTAGCCATCTCTCTAGCTCCCAATCTTTTATTTTTTTGTTGTTTAAACCTTCTTTTAAAAATTTATTTAAAGAGGCTGGAGAGATGACTCAGTAGTAAAGAGCACCGACTGCTCTCCCAGAGGTCCTGAGTTCAATTCCCAGCAACTACATGGTGGCTCACAACCATCTGTAATGGGATCTGATGTCTTCTTCTGGTGTGTCTGAAGACAGAGACAGAGTGGACTCATATAAATAAAATAAACAAATAAAT